ATATAAATTTAACACATGTTTCCTTATCTATTTTAATTATTATAAACTGTACATATATATTTATATTTGTATTGTACTATATTAACTATGTGACTGGTTCTATATCTATGTATATGGATTTATGGAATATACAATAAATAAATGAATGAATGAATGTTAAGAAGATTATTATCTTGCAGAAGAGAACTGTTAGGGTGATGGTGTGATTGAAACAAAGAGATACATGCAGGCCGGTATTCAAAAAACTAAACATATTAACATTGGCCTCCCAATATATATATATATTATCTCTGATGAATTTTATGATACGTAATCTTGAGTAATGATGCAATCCATGATAAGACCACAAGACATAGAGGGAATTTACATGTATTGTGGTCACATTTAGCAGTAAGGCAAAAAGGAGTTTATTATGTGTGTGTGCAAAAATTTTCAACAGTTTGCCTCTCTATGTAAGAGATTTCATACAAGACAGGAAAACTAAAAGACATATTAATCAGTAATTCGTTTTGAAGAAAGCAGTCGTCTGGGATTTGGCACTGTGTATATGTGGTGTTAACCGACGTTTTGGAGGAACGTATCGCCTCCATCTTCAGGGTAGAAGGAAAAATATAAGAAATCCGCAAGCAAAGAGACCATGAGAACCGGTAAAAGCAGACTGGTGTTGGAAATATACACAGCTATGTGAGAGCAGTGAAGGAAGGGGGGAAGGGCAAGTCTACAAGTGAAATCAGTAGTGTTGGAGGGCGTGGACATGATGTTGAAGGAGCATCAGCGGCACATCCGTCTCGTCCGGACAAGTTGGCCGTAGCTGAACACAGAATCGATCTGGGACATCGCATTCGGCTTCAGAATACCTCCATCCTTGCCACCAAGACCCGCTATATGGATCGCATCATTAGGGAAGCCATTGNGCTCCTTTCCCCCCCCCACCCTCCGACACTACTGATTTCACTTGTATACTTGCCCTTCCCCCCTTCCTTCACTGCTCTCACATAGCTGTGTATATTTCCAACACCAGTCTGCTTTTACTGGTTCTCACGGTCTCTTCGCTTGCAGATTTCTTATATTTTTCCTTCTACCCTGAAGATGGAGCGATACTTTCCTCCGAAACATCGGTTAACACGCATATACATGGTGCCAAATCCCAGAAGACTGCTTTCTTCATAGTCACCGCTGTGAAAGCCTCAAATCTTACAATAATTCGTTTTATTCAGTTGATGAAATTTTGCTTTATTGTATTTATTGTCAGAAATATGTTTATTTAGGTATATTTCATTATATTACTGTGCAATTTATATCTAAATATGTGACAACTATAGTTCTTCATTGCATGCATATGTATATATGAGTAGAAAGGAGAATTATGTATTGCTAATTAGCTTGTTGGTATAATTGTATGTGTAACATTGTATCTATTTAATTGAGGTATTCAGTTTAGATTTTAACTATGGTCGAATTGATGTCTCTTCGATTTTATCTGTTATTATCTTGTGACTGTTGTTTGGCAAGTTTTATATTCAGTGCCAGTTGCACACTTATGAATACTCTGAAATGCTGATGTATGTATGTATGTATGTATGTATGTATGTATGTATGTATGCATGCATGCCATGTTGCGATCAAGCAGTAAGCATATATCAGAACTTTGCTCCCAGTTGCACCCTATTTGTAGCATATATTTATGTGTTTTCATAGCAAAGGTGAAGGTAGTTAAACTATGATTAAATGATTGTGATATATAGAATGCACAAGAAATATATGGCAAATTGTTAACTTATCTATATGAATAAAAATGTAAATGTTAATGCAAGATGCAGTGCAGTGGATGACTGTATAACTATTGTAAGAGATGACTCATCTTGGAGTTGTACTCAGTCTGATTCAATCAGTCAGGCTGAAAAAGACTTTACAATGTCAACAAATGCCCCCTCAAGAAACACAAGACTGTCGCCACATCCCAGGAAACTGCCAGTGTAGAAGCCACAGCCCCTTGACTATAATTGCTGTTTGGTAAAGGAGCAGTCACAGACATGAGGCATGAAGAGAACAACCCTTCAGGCTGTGCTGGATGATATCCTCATAATTCTGTATACAGCTCAAGAACTAACAAGTAAACAGTAAAGTAAGAAATCAGGTATACTGACACAGTGACAGTGATAGATGGAGCACATTTTGAACTTTCATCTTGTCAAGAAGAAGAATAGCATTATGAACAGGTCCTTTACACATGAAATGTATCAGAGAGTGTCCTGGTATTTACTGGGCTATGGACACTGGGATGCGTATATTTACCACTGCCAATGATGGAACATTAGAAGGCATTGTTTTGTGACCCTGCTGCTTTACCTGGAAGTACCATCTGCTGAACTATACTGTCTGCAAAGTTAAGATATTTGGGAACAGCAGTAACAAATTGTAATCACATTCACAAGGAAGTAAACAGCAGATTACTTTGAGGGAATGCTTGCTACCATTCTGTTTGAAATCTTTTGTCTGAAGCTGTGAAGATTAAGATCAACAGTGTTATCCGTAGCTTTGTACGTGTGTGAAATGAGGCCTCTTGAGCTAGGAGACCGACATAGACTGAGGCTACAAGTATTTCACACACATATGAAGCAACAGATAACACTGTAGATCTTAATCTTCACAGCTTCAGACAGCATATGGGAAGACAAAAGATTTCATGTCTATAGACAAGACGATGGCTAATGTCCAATGTAGCAATATACCATCGTCACAAGCTTTTAGATCTTACAGACTGAGGGGGTTTGAGAACAGAGTGATGAAGAGGATATATCAACCAAAGAGGAAGGACGTGACAGACTCAGGAAACTGCATAATGAGGCGATACATAATGTAGTACCCCTCACGGAATATTATCAGAGTCATCATCTAGAACAGAATGACGTGGGCATGCCATATAAGAGAGATAAGAGTAAAAACAAAATGTTAGTTGGAGAACATTAACAGAACAGTCCCTTTGGTGGCCAGACATAAATGTGATAATTGTGTTGGAATGGCTCTTAAATAAGCCTATTGACTGGATTAGTCTGGCTAAGACATGGCCCAGTAGCAGGCTTTTGTGCACATGATAAATCTACCAGTTCAATGAAGGTCAGAAAGTTTCTTGTATTAGCCCCTGAAGAAGAATTCTGTTCCATGGGATATCAGGGACGCACCTGCAACGGTGCACGCATGTTCATCTCCTCTGCATAGTGGCACAGAATGGGCCATGTGGCATGGAGCTTAATGAAGCATAGCAGCTTCTTGTTGCTGGTCTCAATCACCTCCTGCAACACAAGCAGTTGATGCAGTGTCATGTGAACAGTGCTACACCCACTAATCATAAAATGCAGTTTTGAACTGTACTAGCTGTGTTCACTTGTTATCTGGCCTTCATTATCACTTAACATTCTAGGCCACATTGCTACTGTGAAACTGCAATCTCTGGCAAGTACAGGAAACCTCCCTATAATGGATTCATAACAAACCTGGAGATTCAGATTGCAGTCTTCTGGGCTGTGTGTGTATGTAATTTAGTTAACAGCACTACAGGTAGCTCAGAGTATATGGTGTCAGATGATCAGATAATGAAGAACAGTGAACTGGGCAGGATGTGGAAGGACGTGGTTATGGTCAATTTTGATGTCCTATTTTAGCATTTGCCCAGTGTGACTGAGGAAAGCCACAAATAACCTATCAGTATAGTCAGGATCTCAGCCAAGATTCAAACTTCACTCATGCTGAATACAAGTCAGAAAAGCTACTGCTTAAACAAACTTTCTTGGTGACACCATATAGTTTGTGGGTGGTTACCAATGTTTCCGAGGATACTGCCGCCTCCATCTGAAGGGTAGAAGTGTACAGTGAGGATGTGATCACTCAAGTCAAGGGGGGGGAATGAATCTCCTGAGGACTGAGGCAGCTTGTGTCTCTGAAACGCTGATGTCTGCCTATGAATAGTACACAATGCTACAGCACAGAAGATTACAATCTGAATACTTAGCTCCCTGAAACATCTAAGATATATGGACTTGGACTTAACCTCTAGTTGTTTTCTGGCTAGCTTTGGTATAATACTGCATGAGTTTGTGGCCCTGTCGCACAGTACAGTACACTGTGGCAGTGTAGGGCACGTTTCAATGGTGAAAAGTTTAAAAATGGTCGTTTTCTCATGTCCGCCCACCAGTAACACCTCACGAACTGTAGAACGATCTTCGCGAATATTGATATTAAGGAGTTTTACCAACATTTGGCCACACGCTCCTACTTGGGTCAGAATCGGACAATAGAAACGAACGCTATGCATTAAGAGCTTCATGCGGTTCTGCTCATACCTCAAGCGTAACTCACCGAAACAGTGTTTCGAACGAAACTTGTAGATGAAATGTAAGCACATATTTTGTTCAGCACACTTTCGAAATTCTTTCACAAAAGTGACTTTAATTTCTTGCCATTTCGCAATTCGAGAACCGCTGAACTAATTTTGTCCTCTCCGTTTTACGCTATTCGTAAGAGAGCATCGGAAGTGGATACAAGCAACAACAGAACGAACGCGCCTGAATTGTTACGGCTTTGTGTGCACTTCCCAGCTTATTTCCGCTCTTACTTTTGCCAGTATTCGTGGGGTAGGATGAGACTTGGCACATGTATCAGCCCCGGATGATTGGGAGTATGGAGCATTTGGTGGAATGAGAATTGACAGGAGAAACCGAAGCACTCGGATATAACCTGCCCCAGTGTCACTTTGTCTACCATAAATTCCAAATGACCTGACCTGGAACCGAACTCAGGATGCCGATGGCATGGCCATATCTAATACCGACTTTTCCTTCCCATTTTTCCAAAGTGTCTGATCCCAGGAAGCACACAACAGATTTGTACAAAGAGGAGAAATTTCCATTAAGGAAAGTACAGCATCTCGGGTATGACGCTGCCTAGTTCTGTAAAAGTTCACCGATGTTTCGGAGAAACGGGCTGTCTTTATCTTCAGGAACGAATAGTAAGACTGAGGCAGTACGTTCCTCTTAAACGCCGGTACCCATCTACCAACGTGCCCCATTCCACAAGATCGTAATCTTAATATTCACCGCTGTGAGAACCTCAGATGAAACTCATTTCTGGGCCAGACTGGACCGCAGTTCATTGAGAATTCATATGCATATCACCGGCTTAGGATTTGAATCTCGGTCTGTGACTTTCAGAAAGTCACAAGCCATGCCATCAACATTAATTTTCTGCGAACCTCCTCCATGTCGAGGCCCTCGCGCCTTAGGTTGGCCATGAAACGCTGGCGCCATGTGTCCAGCTTGTTGGTCTTCCTGTCGCCAGATGTCTCCAGCAACGTGGACCGTCTGGAACGTCTGGTATTCTCTTCGTACACCAACACGAAATCAATCTTCCGGCGCCCATCCCGGAAGAAGGTGGAACTGTCGTCAGTGGTTGTGGGCTCCGGGTAGGTGGGGAAACTCTCCCGCATGATGAGGCCCTGGTCAGAGTCTTCGTCATCCTGGACACAAAAGCATCTGTCTAGCATTGTTACCTTGCTATCCCTTCATGCCTCCGACAGAACACTTAGCGCTCTCAACTACTCGCAGACTGACGGTTCGTCGACGCAAGCACCGAAGTGGGTATGCACCTCACGCACTATGCGAACGAAAATGAACGCAGGCCACCGTGCGCCCGAATTCAGTCGAGTAATCTAGACTATGTCAGTGAAGGCGAACGAGCGAGCGGTTCGGTCTGCTTCGTTTCCCTTCGGCTAGTTTCAGTCGCAGAGATGTTTCACTTAGCGTGCAGTGTGGACAGAAAATTTAAAAACATTTGCCGTTCGCTTTTTTTTTTCAGCCTGCTACTCGTTGGTGACACTCTCTTTCTGCCAGGGAGTGGCCCAACGATATTGTAGGAATTATGTTATCACGACATAGATAAGGGAAAATATTTGTTAATTCCTGATGCCTGGGAAGAAAGCGGCCAGGTACTTCGTTGTGAGACTTGGTAAACAGTGGATTCACCATTTTCGTTGTCTAGACCTGAAAGACAAAAGCTGGAGATGAGAAAATGTGAAGCAGGCACAGAAGAAACATACAGGCTAACATCGAGCTTCAGCTGCGGACATTGGACGCGACATAGATGCGGGAAAGTTAGAACATTCGTGTTCTATCGCATTAGTTCTCATAATCTGCTTGTATAGCCACCTGGAGGCACATCGCAGACTGCAAGGCTGACATTAAGACATGACAGAAAACAGATCAGGCATTTCGTGAATTTCCGCCTGTCAAACACAGGCCGCGTTAACTGGGTGCATCCAAGGTTTTCCCAAGAGGGAGGGAAGGGCCAGAAAATTACAGAATGAAGTTGAGCTGCTTAAGGCTAGTTTTATTGATCGCCTGAGAGTATTCACGATAGTGTTCTTAAAATAATTTTAATCTTGTTAGTATTAGATAGATTTCCTTCTCACTTCTAGCCGACTTTCCTTATTTTAAAAAATAAAAGTAGGCTTTTGAAGATCACCATGCTGTCCGTGTGTCTGTGCATCCCCTTCCTATCAACTTTTCAATGCCTCAACCGTTCTTAATGAAACTTGAATTGTATATCATGGCACCTGAGCCCATCTTAGCGGGTATTTCATAAATCCCTCCCATCAGTCTGTGTGTCTATGTTCATGCTAGGCAACGAATACACATGCAACAATAGATTTTGTTAGACACGGCGTTTTCCATGCGGTCCGTGTGGTATCAGAAGGATAGTGTCGTGTCCCAAATTAGAGACTGAATATTATATTTAAGCATCCTGTTGCACTCTATACGATAAATGATATAAACTCCGTCTCAAGTGCAAACAATATATTTTGTGTCTTTGATCTTGCTTCCCCACACTACATGTTTCGGCCTCAGACGGCCATCATCAGGTGTATAACACTCACGTCGCTGTCACACTGCACCCAGCTCAAAATTTAACATCTAAAACACTCTCCCTGTCATTATCAACTTCCAATCCGTTGATAGCTGTCTGGCTCGTAGATTATTTCACACACGTTAATTTTACTATATTGTAATGGCACCATAATAAAATCTTTAGTTCTAATTTTGAAACCTTTAAATTCTTTCTTCAAATTTTAAAATGTTAAAATTATTAGGGTTATTCGCCCTATGTTTAAAGTGCTGCAGCGGCTAGTTCTTGTTTCCACACTGTACAGGTGTTATCCTGTGTAGTCTTTCAGCACACGTAATAAAGAATAGCAGCGGCACGCACACAGAAAGACTACACAGGATAACAACTATACAGTGTGGAAACAAGAACTAGCCGCTGCAGCACTTTAAACATAGGGCGAATAACCCTAATAATTTTAAAATTTTAAAATTTGGAGAAAGAATTTAAAGGTTTTAAAATTAGAACTAAAGATTTTATTATGGTGCCATTACAATAAAGTAAAATTAACGTGTGTGAAATAATCTACGAGCCAGACAGCTATCAACGGATTGGAAGTTGATAATGACAGGGAGAGTGTTTTAGATGTTAAATTTTGAGCTGGGTGCAGTGTGACAGCGACGTGAGTGTTATACACCTGATGATGGCCGTCTGAGGCCGAAACATGTAGTGTGGGGAAGCAAGATCAAAGACACAAAATATATTGTTTGCACTTGAGACGGAGTTTATATCATTTATCTTAGAGACTTAAAATCAAAAGACGTTGCTTAAATGTTCCAAGACTTGCGACAAACGTTTTACAGCAATTACATTAGTATGTCAACACCTGGACAGGCAATCTAGGTTAAGAATGCCTGATTTAGCAGAATGCGCAATAGCACTTCTGCAAGTCGCGTTGCAGGGACACTGGAGTATAATAATATTATCAACGACGCAGAGATGAGGTACCACGGGCCCACCCACAACCGTAGGGGTAGCCAATGGAAACCTTCCACCCCGAAATTGAGGACGAAAGGAGGAGGTAACCTCCCTCTTTCGTCAACCGCAGATTCAGCAAGTTAATGATATAAATTGCCGAAGTTAGGAGACTTAGGGATCTGATCTAAAACGTAATAACCAGTTGTCCGCCGGAGGCGCTATTCAATATGGGTCTTACGAGTGCTGGAAGTTGGCCTGCGTCTTTTATTTCAAGTAAGTCACGTTTACTCATATAAGCCATGTTGTTAAATATTATGGTTGAAAAAAAGTGTTGTGGACAATGTTGAAAGCAAACTCCAGTGTGCCCGGCGAACCCTTAGGGGAGAATAATAATTATGTAACAAGTAATTGCCTAGGAAGATAGTCCGGCAATATGGCTGTGTTATGGTGTATGTGTTAAGATTACTGGTAGTGTGTAGACTACGCACATTTGCGTTATAGTTACGACTAAAGATTTTTGTGATAAACATGGTGTGTGGGCTTTCAATATGTATAACTAAGGGTAGATTATGTTAAGGGTGAAACTTTACGATAGGATAGTGTAGTAGTATGTAATGAGTAGTAGGAAATGGCGACAGGAAAAAGGTTCATGTTAAACGAGGAATAATTGCATATCCTCATTAGTCGAAACAGAGAGAGAGAGGCTCAAGGCCTACATCCCTGAAGGGGAGAACATCAGGAAGCGTAGCGTGAAGTAAAGACACTATGCAGACCCGACTGTAGGTCGGTCTTGTTAATATTGTAAATAATGTAAATAAGAGTGTAAATAGACAGAGTAGTTAGAGTAGGATGTACCGGGATTGTGATTCACACTTCCATAATCACCTTTCCACGACCGATCCCGTGGATCCTACCAAATGAAAGGCTACGGCAGCCGAATGCAACCACAGTTCAGGGGAGGTACTATTGGACAGGGACAGGCACCTGCCACGCAGGCAGCGTTTAGTAGCCTTGGTATAAACGCCCCCTTAAGAATAATAATAAAGTAATACGTTGCTACCTGAGGACTATATGAAGAGTTGTCAGGAGGGAGCTCTGACAATATGTCAGGGGGTAGTTCCCACCATAGAGATGACAGACGATAGGTAGAGGCGGGTCAGACCCGGCACGCCCGCTCTACGCCAATAATAAGAGGTGACAAGGATGAAAGGGCCAGCGACAGAGAACGCTCGACTACCGCGCTACCGGCCCTTGGTACTTTTCACCAACCTTCGTACGATATAATAGATGGTGGCAGCTTTATGAGAGAAGGAAGCCCAGAAACAGGAGAAACCTAGCTGAGGGTAAGCCAGGATTATTGTGTTAACTCCTTACAGCGTAAGCTGTGGTAGCAAGGAGGGGTACCTCCACGCCCCCCCTGCACCACGGCGTTACAGATAGTAGGCGACTAGTTCATCCCAGAACTTCGTGTTAATTCTTATTCGAACTCTGTGGGGAGGGGGGGTCAGATGCTTGGCTTGCCTCCTGCCAGCGCTCATGGGTTGCGGCCGACTTTATCCCGAAGCGAAAGCACCTACTCCAGAGCTGGTCTTGTCACAGGAATCAGACCGCTGCTGTCTGACGTGTCTGAGTTCCGCCTTCCGCACCACGTACCTGCTGCACGATGCTGCCGTAGCCTCGCTCCACTGTGAACTGCGCGCTCGTCAGTTCGAAGCGCTCACCGCGGTGTAGCTGGCAACGACTGAGTGACATGACGTCACGATCTGTGAAGCAACACAAGCGAAACAACAGATATATACAACTTTTCGAACAGGAAACCTTACTGGTAGGTGGGCGCAGGCGGAGGGAACGCCAGGCACGTGCTCCCCTGAATTTTTATTAAAGAACTCAAGATCGGGAAAAGAAGGAAATATACCAAACCTTAGAAATATTTAAATTAAAAATGCTCTTGTAACCTAAACACTATAGGGCGGTGGTTATGAAAGCGCGATCCGCGGACCGCTAGGGGTCCGTGAGATTATTTTGGCTTGCTGTTATTAGTTAGAAGGAAAATTCTGGAATAACCGCATAATAAATATTTGGGACTGGAAATTGCCAGTTGCACGGTGCCAATTTAACCATTTTTGTCATTAAACGATTGAGGTAAGAAATTGCGTTGTAACAGGAATTAAACATTTTGTAAAGACGGTACAAACATTAAGACGTTTTAAATAAATTATTTAATTTCAGTCTATTTTAAGCTGATATGCAGATAATTTAAATGTGGAGGACGAGAGATTCTTGAGTGTGCAATGTGTTTGCAAAGGGTTTCCGTTCCCTGACTCCGCCGCTCTAGGGCGGTCAGTAGAAACAGTGAAACCAAATGATCTACGAGTAGGTGTGCTGTAGTCACGCGCGTTGCCGTTTGTGCGGAGGGAGAGAGTATGGAATGGGATCGCTAGAAGACTGCTTGTGCGTGAAGTGGCTCAGAATAAGGGTGATAGGACGCTAATTCCATTTTGTTTTGTGATTTATGGGCTGGTGAGGGTCCTGAAGGATCATACTTGCCCGTAACAAAAAGTCGAGCCATGTTCTTCAACATCACGCCACGATGTAGTTTATCATGGCGACCGGGCGTCCTTCACAGTACGGTCAGGAAGTATGTCTCGCCGTTTGCGATAACGAGTTAGGAAGTGTGTTAATGGCGTAGAAGTTCCGGCGCCTATTCCATTTTGTTTAATGATTTCGTAAATCGCGAAACTTTGCCGGAAAAGTGTTGTACGTAAAATGTTAAACAATGTTTTCCTTTGACACCGGAAGGCTTCCCAAGTTGGGTGTATTTCCGAAAACGAAGTCGAACACGCGATAGTGATCTTTTTTACGGAAGTCCTAGGATTGCGTGCATCGAAATGCGAAGCATTTCCGGCATCGCAATGCGAAGCATTTCCGGCATCTGCTGCGATGGGCGTGGGTTTTGAAAAGCATACTGCCTTCTTGGATGTGGCACCGTGTAGTATGATAGAAGTTCACCAGGCAGAAGTTTGTTGCTGCTTGATTCTTGGTCAGTGGTTTATTATTCGACCCTGAAAATGGAGGCAGTAAGTTCCTCCGAAATATCGGTCAGCTTCTACTGGGCTACATGGCATCACATTCCACAAGTTGGTCACCGCTCTGAGTCTAGTATGGACGTTTTTGTTCGTTATTTGTTGGCCAATGGGCTTGTCGACACGGCGCAGTCCATCAGTTGTGTCCGACGGAGGTGGACGGACCGACAGCCCATAGAACACGTACTTAATGGCCGAGAGCTAACTGGGCACCACGCTATGAAGGAGCAAATGGAGTGAGTTCGTAACCTCAGCTACAGATGAAGGTGACAAGTCAGCTTCACGCCCCGCCCGCGTTCCTCCCGGTGCCAATTGTATAGGAGTTGTGGGGAGTCGAACCCCTATTCATCGGCCGTCTAGATCACAGCCCCGTCACTGCGGGCATGGGCGTTGGGCTGTGGACAAGTTCTGCTGCGGGGCACCCGGTATCGACCTGTTGCTCACATGCTGCGTGTGACGTGACAGTCTGAACGCTCTGGGCTCTCTCCACCTACTGCAGCTCACGGCAATTCTCTGTCAAACTCTGCACGCGTGTCCGTCTGTCTTTACCAGCTCTAGGTGCGTTTTAGGGTTCCGGTGTACCATAATTTGCGGGTTAAAAGTATAACGACTGCGTAAAGTAAGTAAGGAGGTGTGGGGAACAGGCATTTCACAAGACGCTGACAGTCGCTAATCTGCTTAAATTCCACACACTTGATGGACTCGTGTGCTCACAAGAGCTCCACCACTGAACCCTTTCTGAGCGGAACCCTCCCATGTTATCTGCAAGCTTGCTACCTCATGCTCTGCTTCCGGGGTGCTGTGCCCTGGTGCACAGGGCCTCCGCTGGTCGCTGTACCGTAGGTCCGAGTCGCAGCCTTTGCGACAGTCTGATCCCCATCCAGGGCAGGAACAGAACACAATGATAATGAGATCCTAATGGACTCTGTTTAGCCCTTCCGGTGTTCAGTTCCCCCGTGTTGTTACCAGCGTCAGTGCTCCTGCAGTAAGCTAAATAGCTCAGGCGGTTAGTCGCTGGCTTCCCACCGCGATGGTCCGGGTTCGAGCCCCAGTCAGATCATGTGGGATTTGTGGTGGGCAAAGTTGAGCTGGGAAGGTTTTCTCCGAGTACTTTGGTTTCCCCTGCCACTCTTCATTCCAACAAATGCTCCCCAATCACCATCCACCATCCGGGGCTGGCACAGTGGGCCAGTAGTGGCCGCGGTATCAAGTTGACTCAGTCTCACTGCACTATTAATAATAATAATAATAATAATAATAATAATAATAATAATAATAATAATAATAGAAGCTAAATACATTGAACGTGGACCATCTGTATTGCAAGCGACAAATTGCTGAATTTGGAAGTCGAATCCGCGACATGTGGCTGCCATTTTCCTCAGCACGTGCGTGATGGCAACCTGGCAAAGGCTCGGGTGCCCGGTTGGATCGATAGGTGTCTGATGACGTCACGCGTGCCGCAGTGACGCCGAGTCGCATCCTGCCTCCGACAGGAGAAATGCCCTTGTTATTACGGTAATGGATTTAGACATTTTGAAACACCACCAGGAAGTTCATATAAGGCTCGCCGGCAGAGGAGAGATCTCGTCCACAGTGGCAGGCCTTGTTGCTGTGGACGCTTCAGATCAGTCAGTTTTATTTATATCTCTAATACGTTTGTATAGCGACGCGCTACGGGCTCTACGGCCCGGGTTTGATTCCCGGCAGGGGAAAGATTTTTCTCTTCTCCACAGCGTCCAGACCGACTCTGGGGCCTACCCAGCCTCCTATCCAATGGGTATCGGGAGTTCTTTCCCCGAGGGTAAAGCTGCAGGGGCGTGAAGCTAACCACTCAACTCAAACTAGTGCCGAGGTCTAGAGAGGTGGAGCTATACATCCACTCCTCCATATGTCTTCATGGCATAGTGCTTATCTAATTAACCACAGGGGTAACTTTATGCTTTATTAAGCTAGTGGCATCATTTGCAGTTGCCGCTTGGCACTGCCAATTGGTACGTTGTGGTTAATATAATCGAGTTCGAAAGGTTTCCACATCAAAGTTTTGTATTTGTTTCTTCCGAGTAATATTTCGAAATGATCATAACCGTTTCGTTTAAATGCCAACCATTCTAAGGGAAGAATGTGGATAACTGATGCTGCATTCGGTGGGCGTTCCTTTCTGTTAAACCTAAAACTTTCTGCTTTCAAAGGTGAACAGCAGTCCAGAAACTGAACAGGTGACGAAGACATTTCTCGTCTTTGGCGGAACCCCATGGTTCATTGGCATATTCACAAGATCCGCCACTAGTCTCTGTCCTAAACCAGGAGAATCCACTCCACACCCTTACACCACATTACCCTCTGTGTTCTTATTATTGTTCCGTCTATACCTAGGTTTTCCCAGTTGGCCTGTTCTCTACAGATTTGTGCCATTTCGTCCGCTCCTTACATCTTGCAGGTCCCCGATTTGGTTATTCAAAATAGTGCTGATGCCTGCTCGCGACATGCGGTCGCTGCGCTCGTAAAGCGAGTGGATTTCTCACATCGAGGGGCCGGTGAACGTCCGTTCGTAGCGTCCAACATGCGGAGTGGGACTTCACGCGTTGTCTAAACCGGTCTACACTGTGTTGAAGTCATATTCGAGATTGCGACGTCGTCTGACAATGATGTAAGTTGTTACGTAACTAGATTCATTTTTCTGCACACGATGGGAAGCAAATTCTCCGTGCCGGAGATCACGGTAAACACACAGGGGACCTCCAGCTAGAGGTGTGACGTACGCTCGAAGTTGTTAGACAAGGTTTGCCTTGATCCGCTCCAGAAGTTTCTTTCAATAACCTCCAACATTAAAGGAGAAGGGATGTGCTCTCAACCTACTATCGCTGGCCATAGACCCTTCACGAGTTTCCTGCTCATCGTTCGTACTGTCAACAAACAGTTTTTAAAGTGTTATTTTAGAATTTAAAATATTGATGCATTATTATTATTATTATTATTATTATTATTGTCATCATCATCATCACTATCATCGTCATTTAAAACAGTGAGCGTACATGTAGCATAGGTACTGAACCAACGAAACCGAGAATATAACTACTGGGCACGCGCGTGCGCGATAGTGCATTACTGGGCACTGGGTCTCTCCTACGCAGTTGTGGACGTGCTTGTCTTCTGTATGTTGTATAAATCATTTAAATATCAGTTTCTTTGTTAAGATGCAATCGCTTGTTTCATAAGACGTGGATAACTTAACTCTGTGAACCAACTGACGGTGCAGTTGTGTAGTACGAAATGAAAATGCATTTGGCTTCACGTGAGAAGTGACGGTGGTAAAGCCAGGGTTCATTGTACCGAAACTTCGCATATCGACCTATTGCTGTATGCCGTTTGCTCTTTTCATCTCGTTGGCTGTGACAAAATATATTTCACATCTAAATGTATTCTTCCTGTTGGAACAGGAATTCAGCTGAATTGCCGCGTGAACTGACTTGATAAAGAATTGTCATCGTGCGCATCCATAGCTTTATTATATCGAACTCATTATATCGAACAGGTAAAAAGGTAAAGCTATCCCTGTAACAGGCCTTTAAAGGATTTCGAAGGTTCACCACTGCGTTTACAATAGTCTGCCTTTTGTACCTATCGTAATCTAGATTAATCGAATCCATAACCTCAAACTCTATTCCATTAAAATGTATTCTAATATTATCCTACCATCTAAGCCCAGGGCTCTCAAGTGTTCGGATCCCATAAGGTTTTCCGACTCCATTCTTTTATGCATTTTTCTTACCTATGCGTGCTACGTGACCCACCAATCTTGATCAACCCCAGGTATACTTTCAAGAGCACACGTTGTGGTGCTCCTTGTTATACACCTTTCTGCATCCTGCTGTCACTTCTTGTCTTTCAGGTGCAAATATTCTGCTCACGTCCTATTCTCGAGCACCCGTGATCTATCAGAAATGCTGGATCTCAACCGGAACAGGATCATTTCCTTTCCTCCTCACCACTCACTGTTATCCACTCTCACTGTGTGTGGCAACTGATGATAGTTTATATTTCATGTTTGAAATATTCAGAATTGTCCCTGGCAGACAGTACGTCTTTGTATTGTTGCGCGATCTCTGGCTCAAGCCTGTGATAAAAGAACTGGTTTTGCTTTTCAGAATGGAGTTAACATTGCAGAACGCAATTTCCGCTTACAAGCGACCGGCCCGCGATACTGTGCTCTTTCCAACGTTTTATCGCGCTAGTTGAGAGTTGGCATAATTGTAGAAAGCAAGCGTCTTGTGCGAAATTTATATTTCTTGGCAGGGAAGAGAATTGACGAGACCTGCATAAAAACATAGGTCAGAAAACCTGAAGGGAAAAGGAGGACCTAGGCATGGATGATTAATAAAATGAACCGAACTGAATTAGAGTGTGAACTGGATTCATCCAGATCAGGCTAAACCAGTGGCGAGATGTGAATACGGTAAAGAACCTTCGGCATCCACAAAAGACGGGGAATTTCTTGGCCTGGTGAGCAACCGCCAACTGATCGAGAACTAATATATATTTATGCAATCGGAAAATGTATTGCAGTCTCCACAAAAGTTCGCCACAGGAGCACAGGTAAACGAATTCACTGCAGTTCCGTTCCTTCGCACTCTGTTGTGTAAGATCCAATTTATTACGCCCCGTTTAATGTTCATATTTTGCAAGTGGTCTCTTATTTTTGGTTTCTTTATCTGTAAAAGTGTGAAGAGTAAATCTAGTATAAAATTTGTATAATGCTATACATGGAGGTAGGCGGCGGTGAAGGCAAGCCAGGCTTCTCCCTACCCCCTGGATTTTGGGAAGAAAACCAAAGCGGCAAAAAGAAGGAAATGTAGCATTGATGCCACACATTACAACTATTTTAAAACTTATTTTTCTACGCTAAATGCTCCATGTCGATTAGTAAAAATAGTCTCAACGGTTCAAACGTTCGTTTGTGAGCAAACTTACTGGCCGCCCCCGTTGGAAAATTAATTTTGGCGGCTCCTATGATACTGCTTCTCCTGATAATTACAGTTCTTCGTTTAATTATCTAGCAGTATCTCATTACGTAAGTTGAATATTTTAGCGAGAGTTAGGATCGACATTTCGTAATGAACTGCTGCTGCTGCCACGTACCTTTGTCCGCTCATCTGGAGTCACAGCACACCCGGCCTCTCCAGCCGTCCTCTCCACACTGACTAGGGCCAGCGATCGATTCCGGCGCAGTACCCCTGCCCTCAAAACACTCACTTTAATATTTTTGCGTCAAGTGGTTCTGCTGGGCCGAGCTGTGATACTGCACCACTGCCGTTCTTATCGCGTGTGCCGAGAATTGTACTTGTAAGGAGCAGAAGCATCTTCTCCTCCAAAATTCACCTTCTCACTTTCTGATGCCCCTAATTATCCGGAAAATGAGGTAACATCCTTGCCTCATACTGAGGAGGTGCTGGTTCGAATTTTGGCCGGAATACTGGCTACACTGTCAGAGACTTTTCATGCCTTTTCTCAGTCCCTTCAGATATGTGACCGGATAGAATTACGGTTAGATCACGACCACTTCTTCCAAAATCCTTTCCAATTCATCATTCGTCTATCAACGAGCCATTCGAAGCAGTATGATCAATGTACTGACAGAACTCTCTCCTCCTTCAAAATAGACATCTGTGTTGGTAATGATAGAGCTTATGTAAGCACTTGAACTAGAAGTATTCAAGCGATGAAACCTGCAGATTCATCACCGTCGTGAATGTGGTCGTAAACCAGATGCCATTTCTACAAAGTATCAACTAACTTCTCCCTTCAAGTTTAACTAAACTAGCATGGTCCTTCTTGAGAAGCCGTTAGTTGCTCAGCTGATCAAGAAATTGCACACTTTTTATGAAATCCCCAAACCATTTACCGCTTTCACGAGGGTACGTCACTGGACTCCATCCTGAATCAGATAAATGCACTCTGTACTACTATGCACTATTTCATTAAATTCAATTTTAATATTTTCCTCACATCTGTGCCAAGGTTTGTCAAGTGATTTCTTCCCCTTTTTTTACGACCCTGTGCGTGCTACGTGCCCACTCACCCCTTCCTCCTTTGATAAATTTCACTTGAACCATGTGAAATCATTTCACGAGATTTAAATTCTATAATTAGGATGGATAATTTGAAACGAGGATGTAATGAAATTAGCAACGGTTACGAGCTGCATTAATTCAGCGTTGAGTCGAGACCTGGCCCGAGGAAGTACAGTCCATTTCATTTTAACACTTTCTGTAAGATCCCTTGGTGTGATGTACCCGTCTTTAAGGCTCTCAACTGCCCTCTTGTCATGAAGTTTCTCGTATAGTATTAAAATAAATAAAACTTATATGGGTTGGGTATGTAGCATACTTGGGAGCTACAAACGGAACTGGTGGATCAAATTTGCATTGAAGTATAGATAAGTTATTTCCAGTAGTGAAACAGTACGACTGTCGAATAGTTATGACTTCTGGGAAGTGTACGTAGAACGATATTACCAGATCAATTTATATTGGCACTAATATTGTATGTCAACGGAGCAAAAACATTTAAAAATGTTAAACTGTATAAATAATGAACAAAATCTAATCCAGCCGTAGAACTCACGGGCCAAGACACATTAATAGTAAGCATATCCATGGATGGTTTTACGAATAATTTACCATTTCCCAGAGTTTCGAAATTCGCTGCCGCAACATACGTGGACCATTAAATATCCTTGGTTTGATCCGGAAGTACCACTCCGGAACATGGTCCTTTGAACGACGAATGCGGTCATAACATGAGCATTATAACCTTTGCGCGGTGATAGTAAGGAACGTCAAGAAGGCGAAGAACGTCAAGAATTGCAAGAAGTTAGTTGAACCGATACAGTTATCAGCTGTTCCGGATTACACTTCAGAGCCTTCAGAGTTTCTGACGACTTGGAGAATGGGAACTAAGTCGGCCCTTGTGATAATAGCAGAAGGAGCGGAAGAAATGGAAGTTGTAATCTCTGTTGATGTTTTGCGCCGAGCTGGGGTTAGGATTACCTTTGTGTTAACGTGTTATGTTCTGTTTCGTGCCACTGTCGTCCATACGAGTTTGAAATTGGATTTTTTATTTTTATCTTTTTGAAATGTGTGCATATCGTAAGATAATTTTGCGGTTTGGTCATAATTGTTGAATTTGTATGACCTACCACAGGTACATTGCATAGTACACCTTTGCCTTTGGGTTCCATCTGCTCTATTAGTGAGTGGGGGTACGCGGTAGCGTAGTTGGTTGAGAGGCTTTGCTACAAGCCGGAAGGTCGCGGATTCAGGTCCCGATCAGGTCACTGGATTTTTTCAATTGACCTAATCCATCCAGCCGCACTATGGCCCTGGGGTCGACTCAGCCTCTTAACAGAAATGAGTACCAGGAATTAATTAAATAATTTTCCTGGGGAGTAAAGCGCGGCGAGCGCGTAAGGTTGACAACGTTACCGCCATCTTTGAGCCGATTGTCTAGATAATGTGGGACCCTCAACATCTCACAACCCTATGGGCCTTCACGGCCTGTTACAGGGATAGCTTTACTTCTTTACTATCTTAGTGAGTCTGCTGCTATGTTGCGAAAGGGTGTAGGAATGATTTGTGCTCTTGACTGCCTGAAAAATACCGTGAGACATTGACGGTAACTGTATGTGATGTTAAACCAGTGGTAAATCTGCTGAAGCCATGGAAAGAGGTCCCATGAATGGTGGGGTTGGCATTGCCTGAGGCTGCTGCCTCCCTGCCTACCCTTATATCCCTCTGCAGCCCTGTCTAGCCTATGTAAACCAGCCCGAAGTGCTGGTCACTTGTGAAAATTATCATTACAACTAGACAAATTGGAGGGGGAAGCATAACGGGCCATGGGAAATGTCGTGGTCAAGCCAGGATGGAATATCTTTCCATGGCTTGCTGCTGAGGCTAATGGCTGCGAAGCAGAGGTCTAAATGGATCTCGCAACAGAATTTTGTTCTTAAAGGGGAGAAGTTACGGTTATCATTAAACTTCTTAATCCAAGTTTAAATGTGTCTGACCATGATGTGGCAAAATGAAGATGCCGTTACTTTGGACATTGTCCATTATCATGAGTTTCGCTGAACAATGGATTTCAAAAGATCAAGATGGGGAACACTGTCTAAAATAATAGCCATGTTTATTAATGTTGTTGCTGAACCAAGACTAATCAAGGTTGGTTAGTTAGTTAGTTAGTTAGTTAGTTAGGTTTGTTAGTAAAAGTGTTTGGTTCCTGACAAAAATAAACAACACTGCTATAAAAGTACCATATCATACACAACCTGGAAGAAATACTGTTGATAGGGTGGGGAGGTCATGTTTTGAACCATTTGGGGCGCTTCTAACATTGGGACACACTGCTTTGGCAGTTCAGTGTTGCTTGGAAGTTTGTGATAGATTATTCTGCTTGCATTACAGTAATATAAAATATTCTAAATAATATGTTCGTAGCAAATAGACAGAGACATTGAAGAAGGAAGGTGTGACTTTAGGCAAGTTGAAGCTATGTGCGTACGGCTAGTATGGAATTTCACACAGAATATGAAAATGTTACACAGTCGCAGATAATACTATCCCTCTGCCATTTTGCTGCTCTTCTTCACAGCATCCATTTAATAATTTGTCAGAATTTTGTAAATGTCATTTATGACTTCCCCTGTGATGTGACTGGTTTCCTTCCTGGTCCCTCTACCATCAGTCATTTCCTTGCAGTTGATACAATATAGTGCTGAACCCTTTGACTCGCAGATCTCTGTTACGGTGGCAGGACTGGCAGGTCCAGACCCTGTGAGGTGCAGTCGCAGTGTCGTAGTGTGCCCTGATTCCAGCCTGCAGGATGCTCTGACTAAAGCTCCATTTGATGCAATTGTTCTGCCAGGGGGACTGGGAGGAGCAAGGAACCTAGCTGCGGTGAGTGGACAGTAGCACTTGTGGGGGTTTGGGCAACACAGTGTCTGAAGGAGTATACAAAATGAGGCAGTGTCCATACCTGTTGTATGGTACAGGGTGGCAAACATTTCATGATTGTGTTGAACACAGTATGTGGATATGGGATATCTCACCAGTGCAACTGCCTGAGGGCCACATTAAGACATCATCTGCCCTTCTCTCAAACCACTTTGTGGAGGTAATTACATCACTAGGTTTAAACTCTCTGATTTAAATTACTACTCCAGAGTCCCATGTTAGGTGGGTCCCTTGTCACCATGGCATGGCACGTCCTCATGTTGCAGTTGGTGGAGACACCCTCCAGATATGGAGGGTAGCTGTGAATATATTGAATAAGCAGTCATCGACAGCTGACAACGGGTGGTCCTCCAGATTTTGGGGTGGAGTGTGGGGCCAACAACTCCTCACTATAAAAAACAAGCTTGTTACAAAAGATAATAAGAAGCCTTGAACCTGGAGGGATTGCTTGGATAAACAACCTAAGCAAAGGAAAATTGATATGAGATTTGGTACTTCGTATGTTAGAAGTATGTATAGGTCTGGTTCACTTAGGTCAGTGGTGGAAGTAATCTAAAAAATATAGGTTAGATTTATTGGAGTACAGGAGGTCAGATGGGGCAGAGGTGGCACTGAACCAGCAGGTGAATATACATATTTCTATGGAAAGGGGACTGAAAATCATGAATTAGGCACCAGTTTTATTGTACATAAGAGAATCATATCAGCAGTTAGGAGGGTAGAGTTCATTAGTGACAGGATGTCATGCGTAATACTGTGACATATTGGCGCTATGCAGGACACCCCCTCCTCCGCCAGCGGTGACGTAACACTTTTGGAGTGTTGCCGTTGCTATGGTAATAGGCCAGTCAACACCCCATCCCCTCCTGCAGTTATGTGACCAAGGGATGCCGCGGTTGCTATGCAGCAGTAAACAACCTCCGACAGCGTTGCTAGGCTATCGGCAAACATGGCATCAGGCAACAGTGGTACCTATCACGTAACTGTTTTCTGTCTTGTCCGTGCCGAGGCTAAATAAGGAGCAGCGAACACTGTTCACAGTGAGTTTTTGAGTTTTGTGATCAGGAGTGACACAGTGCGGATTGTGAACACTGAAAGAAGAATACCGGAACGTGTGATAATCAGTGATAGTTTGTGATAGCTGAGAAGGTATTGGGAGTGTGGAATTTAGTGACACTTGTATAGCTCCTGTATCATACTGTGAATACGTGTAGACTACTGAGGACAGTGTGAAGAGATTTGTGTGTAGGGTTTGTAGAGTGTGTAAACCCGTAACAGTGTTATAATTAATTGTAGCCAAGACTTGTAGGTTGTTAAATAAACAAATTAACAATCGGAATGGCGTCTTCAGTGGCAAAACACGTTACAATACTAAGAGGTCGCTGGTGTGATATCATCATTCTGAATGTTCATGTCCCAGCAGAAGATAAAATTGATCATATAAAGGACAGGTTCTGCGAAGAACTAGAACATGTATTTGATAAATTCCGGAAGTATCCTATGAGAATTTGGTTAGGAGATTTCAGTGCTGAAGTCAGTAGGGAAGACATTTTCAAACCAACGATTGGGAATGAGAGTTTGCATGAAATTAGTAATGATAATGGAGTTTGAGTAGTAAACTTTGCCACATCAAAAAATCTTACTGTAAAAAGTACAATGTTCCCGCATCGTAACATCCATAAATTTACTTGGACATCTCCTGATGGGAAGGCACACAAACAAATTGACCACATAATGATAGATAGGAGATGACAATCAAGTATACTTGATGTCCAATCACTCAGGGCGGATGATTGTGATACTAACCACTACCTGGTGGTGTAAAGGTTAGGGAAAACTGACAGTGAGTAAGCAAACAATGCACAGAGTTCATATGAAGAGGTTCAATCTCAAGAAGTTAACCGAGGTAGATGGTAAGGAGCGGTATCATGTTGAAGTCTCAAATAGGTTTGCAGCTTTGGAAAACTTAGACATGGAGGTGGGTGTTAATAAAGATTGGGAAACTGTTAGAGAGAATATCAAAATTTCTGCCAAAGAGAGTCTGGGTTATTTAGAACCGAAGAAGCATAAGCCATGGTTCAGCGAAGGTTGCTCAAATTATTAGACCAAAGGAAACAAGCCAAATTGCAGTGGTTACAGGGTGCAAGTGAAATGAATGGGGATTAGCTGAACAATATAAGACGTGAAAACAGCAGGCATTTCAGGAATAAAAAGAGGGAATATCTGAAAGACAAAATTGATGAGCTTGCTATGAACAGTAAGAACAAGAACATTAGAGACCTGTATAGAGGAATAAATGACTTTAAGAGGGGTTACCAGCCTAGCAGTAACTTAGTGAAGGATGAGAATGGTGACCTGCTTGCAGAATCCCACAACATTTTGAATAGGTGGAGGAACTACTCCTCTCAGTTATTGAATGTACATATGGTCAGTGATGTTAGGCAGATAGAAATCCATACAGCTGAGCCATTAGTACCTGATCCTAACCCTTTTGAGGTTGAAATTGTTATTGTAAAATTGAAACTGTATAAATTGCCAGGTAGTGATCAATTTCCAGCAGAACTTATTCAAGCAGGAGGCGAAATATTATGTTCTAAGATCCACAAGCTAATTAATTCTATTTGGAATAAGGAAAAATTGCCTGATCAGTGGAAGGAGTCTATTACTGTACCAGTTCACAAGAAGGGTGATAGAACTGACTGTAGTAATTATCTGGGGATATCACTGCTATCAACTTCATACAAAATTTTATCAAATATTCTTCTCTCAAGGTTAAGCCCATACATACATGAAATTACTCGGGATCATCAGTGTGGGTTTCAACGTAACAGATCAACTACAAATAAGATTTTTTGCATTCGTCAAATACTGGAGAAAAAATTGGCGTACAGTGAAACAGTACATCAGCTATTCATAGACTTCAAGAAAGCCTATGATTCAGTTAGGAGGGAAGTATTATACAGTATTCTCATAGAGTTTGGGGTACCCATGAAACTAGTTAAGCTGATTAAAATGTATTTAAAAGAAGTGTAAGGTAAACATCTGTTTGATAATTTTCCTATTCACAATGGTCTAAAACAAAGAGATGCTTTATCACCACTACTTTTCAACTTTGCTTTAGAAGATGTCATTAGGAAGGTCCAGGAAAACCAGGAGGGACTGAAATTAAATGGGTCACATCAGCTGTTGGTCTGTGCTGATGTGAATCTACTGGGTGATAGTGTAGATACCGTAAAGAAGAACACAAACTTTAATTGACACTAGTAAGGAGGTTGGTCTAGAAGTAAACACAGAAAAAACTAAGTATATGTTGCTGTCCCGTCACCAGAATGCAGAGCAAAATCGTGACATAAAGATAGCTAGCAGGTGTTTTGAAAACATGGCACAGTATGAACAGCTGTAACAAATCAAAACCTGATTCAGGAGGAAATTAAGAGGAGACTGAACTTAGGTAATGCTTGCTACCATTCAGTCCAGAACCTTTTGTCTTCTCATCTGCTGTCCAAAAACATAAAAAATGGATAATACAAAACTATAATTTTGCCTGTGGTTCTGTATGGGTGTGAAACCTGATCTCTGACATTAAGGGAGGAACATAGACTGAGGGTGTTTGAGAACAGGGTGTTGAGGAGAATCTTTGGACCAAAGACAGATCAAGTGACAGAAGGTGGGAGAGATCTGCATAGTGAAGAACTTCATAACTTGTACTCTTCTCCAAGTATAATTGTACTCTTCTCCAAGTATAATTAGAATGGTCAAGTCAAGGCGGATGAGGTGTGCAAGGCTTGTAGCATGAAAGGGGAGAGGAGGAATGCATATAGTATATTGGTGGGAAACCTGGAAGGAAGGAGACCACTGGGAAGACAAAGACATGGGTGGGTGGACGATATTAAAATGGATCTTAGATAGATAGGATGGGATGGTATGGATTGGATTGATCTGGCTAAGGATATGGACCAGTGGAGGGGCTCTTGTGAGCATGGTACTGAACCTTCAGGTTCCATAAAATACTGGGAAGCTGTTGAGTAGCTGCACAATTAGTAGTTTCTCAAGAAGGGCTCAGTTCCATTAGTGAGTGACTCTGAAGTCTTTTTCAGCAGATAGGGGAAATGTTCCCTAAAAAATTTGATGTGACAAACCAAAAGTTTTATTATCTATTTACGTAATTCAGCACTTTCATAGAAGAATGTGTTTGCTGATGCTCTTCAGCCCGAAGTGCACTGGCAGTTGTGCAGCTTTTGACAAGTATGAGCATACACAGTGGCTGTTTCCCAGTATGCAGCTGCCTGACAAAAGAACTGCTTAGTTGTGTTGCATAGCCACAGAAGCTTTCAATTTCAACCCAAAAATTTTATTGCTCTAAGGGAAGTTTGACCATGTTCTTAACTAATTAAGCACTATGTCATGAAGGTAAGTGTGGGAATGGATATATAAATCCACATATTCTTGACCTCAGCACTAGTTGGTGGTGAGTGGTCAGTTTCAAGCCCCCGGTACGAATTGGATAGGCTGGGTTGGCCCTAGAACCAGTCCAGTCAACATGGAGAAGAGGAAAAAAATGCCCATAATGGGGCTCGAACTCCAACCTCTTGCCATTCAGTCTGTAGACAGTCATACTGACTGCTATCCTGGCTGTAACCTATGAGAAATATCATTCTGAAGCACATAAGTTGCAACATTAATCTGTCCTGGGAAATTTAGCTGTTTAACAAGAAAGCTCACTGGGAGAAAATTAAACACATTTAGAATGCCATCTTCTGGGATGTGGCGCCACATAGATCTACACGGTGCCACATCCCAGAAGATGGCATTCTTCATAGTCACCACCGTGAAAACCTCAAATCCTACATAAACACATGCATTTATTCATTTCTGCCTCTGATACAACCTAAAACTGTCCACAGTCTCTCTTTTATTTAAACCAACACTAAAATCATGTCAATTGCTACATGTTTCGGCCCTACTTGACCATCTTCAGACAGTTGTTCACTTATTGAAACTGTCACACTGCACTAGATCGTAAGTCAGTGTATTCCATGGTATTGCATACGGTTCACACATAAATATATTTGAGAATAAAAAGTCTCTTTATTCCGCATTATTTTGCTTTTGTGGCATTCATGTCTGTGCCCCCTTCATATGTTTTCTGTTCTCACTAGTTGGGCATATGTCCCTTGTATTTAATTTGGGACCTGAGGTTCCACTCTTGGTGGATATGAAGACTGTGACATGTCTGAAATATTGTTAACCATCTATCATAAGTGTCTCATCACACAAGACTGCAGACATAAAATTTAAGTTACTTAGTTTGTGGTGTCCTTCTTGACCTGCATTTTAGGGTCCTGGCAGTATGACCAACATGACAATCTCAGTTTATTTTATGTCTCATGTGCTTCTTATCTTACATGTTTAAGCTCAGTATGGCCATCATCAGGTATATGTGAGTCCAGCTGAAATTGTTTCACTGTATGATGTACGTGGTGCAATCCAAAAGTTCCCGAAATATATTAATAAAAACTATTACATCTTACCTAGATCTTATTCTGCACCATCACCTTCAAAGTAGTCCCCTTGGGAGCGCATACACCGATCCCAGCGTTTCTGCCACTTTTCAAATGCATCCTGGAAGTCTTTCTT